TGACCTGTGGTGGGAGCAGTGGGCAGAGTCAGGTTCCAGCTAGGTGTGAAAGAGCTTTTCAGGACTTGGGGTCCCACAAGGGTTCTAGGTAGAATTCTTCAGTAGGTTGGATGAGGCCCATACACATTATAGAGGGCAACCTGCTTCCCTTCTATTTTCAGTGAAAATCTCATTCAAAACACCCTCACAGAGGCCTTCCTTTTGGCTTCGGGGTTATAACTCAGTGTTATCACCTCCACAGCCTGAGTTTAATCCCCAGCCAGGGAGCTGACTCACATGGCACAGCAGACCTCTCCTGTCTCCCCGCCGCTCCCCTCAGCAGTGTGTTTCAGCAGATCTGCCTGCACTGCTCCCCACTATGTCTCACCCCTTGCACCTCTGGCCTGTACCCCAGTTCTTCCAGAAAAAAATTAATAAAATCTTTTTAAAACAAAACAAACAAAAATAAAACACCCTCGCAGAAACATACAGCATAATATTTCCCAATCAAGCTGACAAGCAATATTATCCATCCATTGGAGTAAGAATATTGACCTCATCTGCTCACGTCAGGATTGAAAAAGAGTATCTGTAAAGCACTAAGTACATTGACCGGCTGGTTATAAATGCTACAAGGTGTTGTCACAGAGAGAGAAAAAATACATGTGTCCAGTGCCTGGGAGGGTATGCACTTGGCTAAGCTTTTCCACATTGTTTTTCAATTCAGATTGTCACCACAATGTGAGGCAGGTGTGAGTAGCCCCATTTTACAGGCGAGGACTCTGAGGGCAAAAAAGGTCACTCAGTTTGCCCAAGGACTTTCATTGGCAGGTGACCGAATCAAAACTCAGGTTTGTGTGATTTCAAGACCCTGGCACTTACAAGCTGCCTAGAATCTTAAGCTGCCTGAGTCAGGAGAAGGCCTGGGCCTCAGAGGCTACACACAGGAGCTGGAGGTTGAGAGCAGGAAGGGAGGGCTCTCCTGGGGGAGTTACTCCTAGCAACTCACACAGGTGTACACATCCCTCAGCCCCAGAAATTCCCACGGAGCAGCCTAAGGTCTCATGGCAACTCTTGTCCCAGAAGAGGGTGTGTAGGATTCTTTTGTGGGATCCTGGCCTGAGCTGACAGAATCCGGCTCTTCCAGTCCCTCCTGACAGTGCAGCCTCTGTTAAAATGGGTAGGGGACCCTCACTGCTAGGGGTTACTGGTAGGGGACAGTGCAGCCTCTGTTAAAAGGGGTAGGGGACCCGGCTTACTTGATGTGAGGCACTTCCCAGAGAAGGATTCTTCCCAGTCCCAAATTGCCTCATCCAAATTCACACAGGAACCCAAATGACTATTCAGCCAAGGCGGTTCCATACCATAGCAGCGTCACTCTTATACTGAAAATGGACTTCATACAAGTCCACTTATGAAACTTTCAGACATAGAAAGGTACAATGAATTTGATATGCCTATCATCACAGGGCTTTCCATTATGAATAGGGCCCAGGAAGGAAAACTTTCTAAAAATCCTGGTATGATCTTGTGACTAGCATGGTGATATTATGATTTTATGTTTAAGTGTTAACTTGTTCGACGTGAACATGTCAAACATACCTATTTCTTTCTTGAGAAGCATAGCTGGAGCCTCTGTGTTAGAAGGGACCTAGGCCTCTTTCCATTTCTAGAGGGCCCGTTTCTCAGGGAGCCCTTGCTGAGAAGTGTGTGTCCGGGGAGATGGGAGTTGAGGGGACCCCCATGCCCACGGCTGCAGAGGCTGGGGTGGCACTGCTGCTCCGGGTGGCGGGATAGGTCTAAACACTAGGTGCCAGGACAGGCACGTGGCCCTTTACCACAGGTGACATCGGTGCCAACTTCAGCGGGAGTCTAAGTCTTCTGGCTTTGCCTCAGCAAGGAGCATTTACAGTGCAACCTGCTCTCAGCCCTGTGGAAGGAGCTTTCCGTTTACTTGGTGGGAAGCAAAGAAATGTACCTGAAGAGAAGCAATTTGGTGCCGACTGTGCCGCACAAGGGTTCCGGCCATTGTTGGCTGGGCTGGCAGCTCTGTGAGTGACCCTAAGTCAAGGAGGAGTGTGCACAGGCCTGGCCAGCCCAGAGGACCTGAGGGCAGGGCCTCCGGCTTCCCTCTCTTGCACGGTTCCCACAGCGCCCAGCGCAGCTAGGCTCACAATGAGCGTCAGTGCTTGCTTTTGACTGAACCTTTCCCCTTTGTATCTGTCTCTGCATCTCTCAGCATCTCTGTCTCTACAAGTCTCTGGCTCTCTTGTTTCCCAACATCCTTCCCGAGCCCCTGGGGAGCAGGGCTGGGGGAGCCAGGCAGTGGGAACAGGACAGCGTCCTGTTCTCACCAAGGACAATAAGGGCCGGAAAGGGCTGGAGCCAAGGCCTGGCGCAGACTCCCCCTCCCTGCCTGCCCCCGCATGGTCCCCACCCCCGCCCTGACCCTTTGGCATGCCCTAAGTGCCAGGCATCCCCTCTCGCCAGTGCCAGTCTCAGGGGAGTCTAGTGTCTGCCTGGGCAGGGCCCTTTGGTGCCCTGCTCTTGCCTTCTCACTGCCCCTTCTTGGGCCCTATCACCTCCTGCCCCAAGGAGCAAGTGTCTGGGGCTGGGAGCCTGCTGCCACACTCTCCCTACTCACATCCAGGGCCCCCTCCCCCATATTATTTACTCCTGTTTCCGGAGCTGGCTGCGGGTGTCAAGGGTGTTGAAGCCACGTGTGAGGGAGCAGGAGGAAACATCTGGTTTCCCTCTGTCCTCCAGGCAGGCCACTGCTTGCTCCCCACTGCCCCGAGTCCAGGGCCAAGAGGTGAGCACCTTTATCCTTCTCGCCTTCAGGTCTCAGAAGCCATGCTGGCTGGCCTCACAACCCCTTACTTAATGATGGTGATTAGTTGGCTAGAATACCCCAGCCAGGGTTAATTGGTAGGTCTCTGGACAGCCTGCAACTAGGCACCCGAGATAGGCTGGGTGGAGGACCAAGATCGGCGCCAACCTGCCTTGTAAATGCACCCATTCTCTGAGGAAGAGGTCATTAGTCCTGGGCCACATACTGTCCCTGATGCCTACGCAGTGGGTGGCCAGGGCCCTTGGCATTGCCCTAGTATCTGCTCTCCAGCTCTTGCTCAGCCTCTCTGTGCCTGACCCCACCCAAGCTCCCACCTTGGAAGGCATGGTGCCCTCAGGTGGCCAGGGACCTGGCCCTTGTGTCCACTGTTTTACCCCAGGTTAGAGGAAAAAAATCAAGGTTTGAGTGTGATTTAGAACTAACCCAGCCTCCCTGTAGGTCCAGGGATGATTTTGGATATGCCCTCCTTATCCCGCAAAAGGGCCCACAAGGCTACTTGCCAACCACTAGTTGTGAGCATAGAGTGGCCACTCCCTGGGGGAGGCTTTGGTCCTCATTTAACTCTATGCTCTTCTTCCGGCCTGCAGGGGCCAAGGTTTAATATAGGCTTCAGTACTCCCAAATGTGCCAGTTTTTCAGGTCCTCCAAGGAGGCTGGTCTCCACAAAAGTCAAAGCAACAATAGGGACATACAGCAGCTCCCCTTCTGGGTCTCAGTCAGGATTGGATGGAAGTGTTGCTAGTCTCCAGGAGGAAGATGTGGGCTCACGGCGCCCTCTGTAGGCATCCCGAGCGAACTGCATAGCCCTCCCACAGTCTAGGGAATAGGGCAAGGGTCTGGGATTCTGGTCACAAAGCAAACAGGGTGGGGTGGGTCTCTAATCCTCTTTCGACTCACTGCATCTGCTATTTAAGGTTTTTTTGTTTGTTTTTTTTGCATAGAACTGGTGTGTAGGCCAACGGTGCAGGGTGTGCGAGTATCCATCAGAGACAGAGTGGGGAGCAGAACAGGCGGATTTAATGAAATACATTAAGGGGAGCAGTGGATGAGACAGAAGAGGTCTGCTACACCATGTGGGTCAGCACTATGGTGGGGATCAAACACAGGCTATAGTGGTGATAGGACTTAATTCCTAGGCCACCACTTAAAAAGGAAAGATTTGGGCCCTCCCTGGTGGTGCAACACGTTAAGTGCAGCATTGTGAAGCTGGCCGCAGCCACTGCAGCATGAGTTTGAGCCCTGACCAGGTAGCTGACCCACATAATGCAGCAGACCTCTCCTGTCTTGCCCGCTGCTCCCCCTCAGCAGCATATTTCAGTCTATCTGCCTGTTCTGCTCCCCACTCTGTGTCTGGTGAATTCTCTCCCCCCAACACACCTCTGGCCTTTATGCATAAGTACATAAATCCTCTTTTGTAGGTTCATTCGACTAGCCCACCCACGGGCAGGCTTTACTGCTCAGCACCAGGCACTGGAGAACACAACGCTGAGCGAAAGGTGCACACTCACGTCATACAGCAGGACACATTCCTCATGGCAGAGCACAAAGTAGGACCTCATATCTGTCAAAGCAGGCTGAGACTATGGGCGTGTCTCTAACATTTTGTATACTTGGCTGAAATTTAGAAAGATATTAATCTCTTGGCTATGAGACTAAGAGAAAAATGAAAGCAGAGGTTGGGGCAGAGGTCAACCTGGGGTGTTTCTATAAGCACTTCTGTCATGGAATAGAACACATGCGCCCAGGAGGGAAACCCTGCAGGGAATTCCAATCAATGACTTGAGGGTGGGGAGGTGAGGGGGCTCATCCCTTCAGCATGGGGAGTTGGAGTGATAAAGCCTCTACAGGGACCTATGAGGTGGTGTAGGAGTGAAGGACCTTTGGCCTTCTTCACTCTTGTGCTGCAAGCTCTAGTGCCACTCTGACAGGCAGGGCTTCCTGCACCGCGACCGTTACACTGTTCCCAAAAGCCAAGATCATTTGTGCATTTTTCTTCCACAAAGACACTCATACAAGTGTGTGTTGCTGCTGGCATGCAATAGATATTTGGTAAAACGAGCCTTAGAAGAAGGAAAGTCCCACCATGCTCAAGGTCTGAAAAGTCGGTGCCCATGTGCCCACCCATGCAGGTGCTGGCAGAAGAGGACCAAGCATACCACAACTCACAAAGTTACAAAGAATCCACTTTATTGGACATTCAGGGTCAGTTTCTCTTTTTGCCCTTGCCCGTGACCTTAGCTGGTGTGAGGACTGGAGCTGTAGCCTGGTACAGAGTGGAGGAGATCTTGTTGATGTAGTACAGACCAACCATGGAAAAGATGAAGCTATAGGGTGAAGAGAGAAAAGTCATGGCGTCAGTGGGCATGCTGCCAGCCTGCTACCTCACAGGACAACACCAGCATCAGGGAAAGAAACCAGGTTCAGGTTCAGGAAAATGGGGAAGGACAACAGAATTACAACAGGGGGTCGGGGGAGGTCTGGAACCATTACAAAGGAGAATCAGTACCGAAGGACAGGGTGCTATGCCCCCTACCTGGCTGTCAGGCACTTACCAGGTAGTGACACAGACTCGGTGAATGAGGCCGGATGCAAAAAGAGCCAAGAGAAGGCAGAGGAGAACTGAGGAGGCAAAAGGGGACAAGGAAGGTGGTGGTCAGATGGGAAGTACCAGGCGAAATTCACATGTGGAGTCTAGAAATTTGAGGCCCTCCAAATCTTGGGGACCCTACATGGAGGGATATGGCATGACAATAGCACCAGGACCTTTGACAGCCTTAATGAGGTCCAGAAAACAGAGGAGAGACAATCTCATCACCAGCTTTGTCCCAAAGATCAATGAATTTCCTATCCTGGCTTTTCTGTGATAAAAGGGGGGGGCAGGGGGGAGTGAGCACAGTCTGAAAGGTATGGCTCGCTCCTACTTGGGGAAAGGGTTACGGCCTTTCCAGCAGAAGCCAGCCCCAATGGTTAGATCAACTTATTAAGCTAGCAGGAAGCTGAGGACCTTACTACCTCGACACAGGAGATGTCTAGAGTGGGTCTAGAGAGAAGGCATAAGGGTAGAAAACAAGGGAAAATCCCATCTGCCAACTAGGAAAGGCAAAGAACCTCGGCTCATACCAGGTTTCAGAAATAAGAGAAGATAACACATATGGAAGCAAAATTGGAGAAGGAAGTGTAGGGGTGGTTGGGCTACTGGATGGAGCTCTGAAAGCCTGCAATAAGGCTAGATGGAGAGAGCAAGAGGAGAGGAAAGAACAGGGGACCACAGTGAGGGCTTTTGTTCTGCCAGATGAAGGCTTCACACGAGATTCATCTGCTGTCAGTCTGGGGGCATGTGGCATCCTTATGTGATCTGGCCTTGACGCCTAATTTGCTTTATGAACTTAATTCCCCATAAATAACTAAGTCATCAATTCTTCATTACATGAGCAACAAGAATCATTTCAAACATAAAACAATCTAATAGTTGTTCCAATGAGGCCAGGATTTCTGCAGAAACACTTAGGCTTTCACAATCATCATTCACTAATATTGGAACAGTTTCGTATCAAAAACCCTCAATGAACTTGGCCCTGTTTCTTCTGGTGGGAACAAGAACTGGATCTTGTTTGTTCCCCTCACATCTTCCCTGGGAGCAGGCCAGCAGGCAGCTGAGTTTCTTGCTTTCAGAGACCTCTCCCAGCTTCAATTCCAGGAGCTAGATCAGGTGCTGATTCCAGACAGTGTTAATAAATTGATTTCCTTCTCCAAACTACCATCTAAGCACCTGAAAATTCAGTATAATGTTGTGGTGAGTACAAGGTTAGAGGAGAGGGTATATGTACTCAACCCCCGAATTTCACTTACTCTCAGGAAAGATCTTCGCTTGGAATCCTTTGCCAAAAACAAGATTCTCCAGATTATTGAAGGCCTGGTTGAGGGAGTTAAGGAGTGGAGCACACAACGGGGACAGAGCTGAGTGACTAGTGGGTAGGGAACACGCTTGCATGGCCCTCCTCATTTCCCACCCTCAAACCTCTTCCCCTTCCCCCCCCAACCGTAAGGATACAGTGAGAGAGAAGACGAAAAGGCCGGAGCCCAGCAGGCCGCCCTGGATGGTGAGCCACTCCGTGGAGGCCAGCTGGCGGCTGTACATCTGCATCCCAGCGAAGAGCAGCAGAGACAGGAGGGAGGAGAGTGCCAGCGAGGTGCCAGTACCCACCACTGGAGAAGCGACACAGGAGACGGTGTCGGGCCCCACCCGCCCGCAAATCGGCAGGTCCCGAGCCGGAGTCCGGATCCGGGAGGGCACGACCACTTCCTAGCACTCCCCAGGCTGCAGCTACACCCCCCAAGTCCTCATACCCCGCAGCGATCCTCAACTCCGGATTCCCGAAACCCTCCCGTCCCAAGGAAAAGCCAGTTCTCTGGAGCCTAGTACACGTCAGCTCTGCGAGGAGAGCAGGAAAGCTGGCTCGCCCCCACTCCGACCCCCACAAATGCGCCCCGGGAGCCCGCTGGTCCCGTTACCCATCATGCCCTGGCCGTGGGTCCAATCGGCGCCTCTACCCGAGGAAAGGTACCGAACCGGGTGCCGTTGGCAACGCGCATGCGTGCGCCCCCAACGTGGACTTGCTCTCCCCGCCCACGCCACGTCTTCCTTTTTCTCACTGTCAGCTCCTGGACGCGGCGCCCTCTTCTGGCAGGGAGGAAGTGTTGCGTCGAACATCTTCCTTGGTTACCGCCCTTTGCTCTTGCGAGCATCTATCTGCTGCCTCACAGTGCAAGCTGCACTTGACACTTCCAGACGTCGGTACCACGACCCACAGCCTCCAGCTCACATCAACCGACTTGCCATTTGTGTCATTTCTTGTGCCTGTTCCTCAAACCTCCTTCCCCCTTGATCTCGATATCTCCCGCGAACTCTTGCCCAATCTAAAATCTAGTCCTTCCATCCTGGAACTCATCTTCTTCTATCACACTATCCTCCCGCTTTTATGTAAGTAAGATTAGGAGCCAATGAAGAATGCGAACATAAGAAATAGCTCTTCCCTCAAATACCATTCCAAGTTACCCAGTCCCCACCCCCCATCCCCCACCGCCTTCTGAGAACCACGTGGGGGAGAACTATTTCCCACCTCCTACTCGGACCAGCGCTGTTCGAGGCTGGTCCCTGGAGCATGCGCAGTGACACCTCACCCCCACCCCTCCCCACACCCCCACCGGGCTCTGCATTAAGCCCGGGGTTCGCAGCCGCAGCCGGGATCGGGCACCCGGGGGCGGGCGGGCAAGGTAGGGCCATGGCTGAGGGTGAGGATATGCAGACGTTCACTTCCATCATGGATGCACTGGTCCGCATCAGTGTGAGTTAAGGTGGGGTCGAGGGAAAGGGAAGGGGGAGTCGAGGGCTCGGGGCAGACTGGGACCTTGAACAGGTGGGGATCCGTCAAGATGCTGAAATGCAGACAGAATTAGAATGCTGGTGATGGCAGGACCGGGGAGAGGGGGTCGGATGCCGTGATGAGAGGGTAGTCCGGGGGGCAGCCCAGAAGTGAGTGCCGGAAGGCGTCCATCTGCTGGGGTGTAACGAACTGTGCGCTGCCGGGACTCGCTGCCGGGACGCAGCGGATGGGCTGGGGCAGCTGTCAGCAGTGCACCAGGGCTGGGGCTACAGAGCAGTGGGGCCAAGGTGTGGGGAGGGGGCGTGTGTGAGCCTGGGTATTTTCTAAGAAAACTGAGGACAGGTTGGGGGTGGTGAAGGACCCTCCCCTGGGTGCAGTTCCCAATTTGGACCCCACGGAGAGACCCCACCCCACCACACCCCCACTCGGGGCTGCCTCCGAGCCTGCGGTTGTCATGGCAACCCGTGCCCGGCTCTCCCAGGGGCGGTGCCAACCCTGCTCCCCCCACCTCTTCCTTCCCCCTCCCTCTCTGTCCCTCCCTCCTTTGTGTCAGCTGCGCCCCTGACCGGGATGGCGGCGAAGAGAGGGACCAAGGTGAGGGGTGGGGGTGGGGCAAAGCTAGAGGACCCTCACTACTCAAAAAGGGAGGGGTACTTCCGGTGGGGAGGGGGCGAATAGGCGGGGCTCTCATTTTCGCCCTAGTCTGGGGAGGGGGTTGCGGCTAACCTGGTTGTAGAAGAGGCTGGAGGCTGGATAGTAGCGGAGGGGGGGGTGCTGGCGGGGGAAAGAGGGAGAGATGAAGGGAAATAGGTTCGTATGGGGCAATAGAGGAGCCGATGGAAAAGTGAAGGGTGAGGGATGGAGGCTGGGGCGGCCGCAGGCCGGAGCCGCGGCAGGAGGACGAGGATGGATGGGGTGAGCAGGAAGGTGGAGAGCTAGCGAGTCTGGCTCTTGGGAGGAGTCGTGCAGGGCGCCTTGAGGGGAGTGAATGCCCGCGCAGGGGGCGGGGGTCCGCACTGAACTGCAGAATGGGCGGTGTCCTTGAGAGAAATGCCTGGCGCTGGAGCCCGACAAATGCGGAGTGGGGGGGTGGGGGGCGGGAGGCGGGGATACTGGGGGCCTGGGTCCAGTGACAGGTGCTGCGGCCCTGGCTCTGGGCATGAAGGGGGTGGGGCTTGAGGCTAGAGGAGGCACCGATTTCCAATCTCCAGCTTCCACCCATCTCCTCAGGCCTCTAACTCTGCAGAAGGGAACAGCCCAGAGATCGATCCCTGGGAAGATCTGTCAGCTAGGCTGGGCTCCTTTCTGGGGAATAGCCATAGGTAGCTTGTGTTACCCCTTCCTGACACCTTATTGGGTCTCTTAGGGCAGCCTGAGAAATATTCTCAGTTGTCCAGGCTCTGACTCAACCTCCTGATCCTTCCACAGACAAGCATGAAGAACATGGAGAAGGAACTGCTGTGCCCAGTGTGTCAAGAGATGTACAAGCAGCCGCTGGTGCTGCCCTGTATGCACAACGTTTGCCAGGCCTGTGCCCGGGAGGTGCTGGGCCAGCAGGGCTATGTAGGCCATGGTGGGGACCCCAGCTCTGAACCCACCTCACCAGCCTCCACCCCTTCCACCCGGAGTCCCCGCCTCTCCCGAAGAACTCTCCCCAAGCCAGAGCGTTTGGATCGGCTGCTTAAGTCAGGTGGGGCTGGAGCCTGGGGGCTGGGAATGGGGTACACTGGGTTGTCCATCAGGAAGATGGAAGGGGTTCATCACTGGTCTATTGGGGGAGGGGATATAGTCCAGCAGGCTCTACTAAGAACTGAGCTGTGGCACAATAAAAATTCTTTTTTTGGTGAACTAACTTCTCCCATCCCCAGCTAGCTATAAATTTTCCTCCCTACTGCCCTGGCCCATTCACAGGCTTCGGGACATACCCCGGGAGGAAGCGAGGTGCTTTGCATCCCCAGGTGATCATGTTCCCGTGCCCAGCCTGCCAGGGTGATGTGGAGCTAGGGGAGCGGGGCCTGGCAGGGCTTTTCCGGAACCTGACTCTGGAGCGCGTGGTGGAGCGGTACCGCCAGAGTGTGAGTGTGGGTGGTGCCATCCTGTGCCAGCTGTGCAAGCCTCCACCATTAGAGGCCACCAAGGGCTGTACTGAGTGTCGCGCTACCTTCTGCAATGAGTGCTTCAAGCTCTTCCACCCCTGGGGCACCCAGAAGGCCCAGCATGAGCCCACCCTGCCCACCCTCTCCTTCCGCCCCAAGGTGAGCCAACCCTTGTGGGCCCTGATAAGGGAGGGGCATGGTGATTCTGGGTGGGTGAGGGTGCCCAGCACTGTGGGTTCCCCAAAGGAGGTGGGCAGGTGCAGTTGGGGGAAGGGGGGTTGCCATTCCCAAGCTGCTTTTTCTGTAACATAAAAGGCACCAAACAAATCTTTGAGCATCTCTGAGCCTCCATCTCATCTGCTGAATTAAAATGATAATGTCTTCCCTGAAACCCATGCCTGCAGGGTTGTTGGGAGGATCCCAGGAGGTAGTGTTTGTGAGAGTTAACTGTATACTAACAAGGTCTGTGTACATTCCTTCATTCAGTGAGCAAATATTGATCTTGCATCTTTGTGCCTGGTGTGATCTAGGCATTGGGGGATACAGCAGTGAACAAGATGGGAAAAGTTTATTATTAGCCAAAAAGCTAAGATTAATTGTCATCATTATCACTGTTATTACTACACACCCCTGTGAGTCGGTGAGGGAGGAGGACTGTTGATACCTGCAGCCACCTGGAAAGCCTCTCTGGTGCCAGTGTCACCACCAGGTGGCACTGTGGTGAAGCACCAGCAGCTGGACTCCCCTCCACCCCGTTTCTGTCCAGTGGAGGGAGAGCCCCAGGCTGGCTTGGTCAGAACCTTTACACACCACTGGCCAACTGCTCATTGCTCTCTCTGTCCTTAGGGCCTGATGTGCCCAGACCACAAGGAAGAGGTGACCCACTACTGCAAGACGTGCCAGCGGCTAGTGTGCCAACTCTGCCGTGTGCGGCGTACCCACAGTGGGCACAAGATCACACCAGTGCTCAGTGCCTACCAGGCCCTGAAGGTGAGGGCCCTGCCTCGCTCAACCCCAATGCAAGCCCACACTCACACCTCCTCATAACTCCCCTGACCTGCTGGCTTCTTTGGAGCCGGGCATGATGCCCACCTCTTTCTTCCCCCTCAGGACAAGCTGACAAAGAGCCTGACATACATCCTGGGAAACCAGGACACAGTACAGACCCAGATCTGTGAGCTGGAGGAGACCGTGAGGCACACAGAGGTGAGGGAGGGCAAGGAAGTGGGCCCTGGGCCCTGCCTGAGCATGGGAGCAGCAAGGAGCACTGGAAACAGGAAGGGGGGGACAGATGGCCCAGTCATTTGGTGGCAAGTTCAGAAAGCCCATGTGGGGTCCGTGGAGGTATGGAGGTGCTGGTTAAACTAGGTGGTCGGGAAAGACACTGCTAGGGCCAGGCTCTACCTGAGGCTACAGAGGGTATAGCCACCTAGTGGCTTGGAAAGTCCCAGGGGCATAGCTCAGATGCCCTCGGGCTCAGCTGTCTGCTGCAGATGGCACATGTCCCTGAAGCTACGATACCACCTGCCAGGTTGCTGAATCAGCTCGTATGGGGACGGGCCGTGCGGATGGCATAGATGCTGGTGGATGTCAGTGCTGTCCAAGTGGGTACTAGTGTGGTCATGGCCTCTTTTATTTGGGGGAGTCCGGAAAGAGTCAGGATTATTGGGGCACCGAGAAAGGTTAGCACCAGAGGGCAGGAGTTGAGCTTATCTGGGTGTGCAGATGCCTTTTGGAGGCATGAGCCTGACCCTGTTGGAACAGGTGGGTAGGGTCCCCCCAGTTCCTTGGTGATCCTGGTCATGGTGTGGTGCCCCAGGAGGCTGGCCCAGGTGCTGCCATCCAGAAGATAGTGAGTGCTGCTCTCTGGGCAGGTGAGTGGTCAACAGGCCAAGGAGGAGGTATCCCAGCTGGTGCGGGGGCTGGGGGCCGTGCTGGAGGAGAAGCGGGCGTCACTGCTCCAGGCCATTGAGGAATGCCAGCAGGAGCGGCTGGCCCGTCTCAGCGCCCAGATCCAGGAGCACCAGAGCCTGCTGGATGGCTCAGGCCTGGTGGGTTACGCCCAGGAGGTACTTAAGGAAACAGACCAGCCTTGCTTTGTGCAAGCGGCCAAGCAGTTGCACAACAGGTACTCAGG